AGCGGCCAGGCCCGGGGGAGCAGGCGGGTCGGGTGCGGCCAGGCCCGGAGCAGCGGCTGCCAGGCTGGGAGCGGCCAGGCCCGGGGGAGCAGCCGGGTCGGGTGCGGCCAGGCCCGGAGCAGCGGCTGCCAGGCTGGGAGCGGCCAGGCCCGGGGTAGCAGCCGGGTCGGGTGCGGCCAGGCCCGGAGCAGCGGCTGCCAGGCTGGGAGCGGCCAGGCCTGGGGGAGCAGCCGGGTCGGGTGCGGTCAGGCCCGGAGCAGCAGCAGCCAAGTCCAGAGCAACTAGGTCGGGAGCGGCAGTGACCAGACCCGGAGCAGCTGGTTGTGGAACGAACCAGAGCAACAGAGGCCAGGCCCTGAGCAGCCAGGCCCGGAACAGCTCACTCCTCGCCTGCCCCTGCCCCATGGCTGCCTCTCAGACATGGCTGGAAACTTTCGTGGGAACTTGAGGGTCTGCTGAATCAAGTGATAAAGGCTTAGATCTGGATGTGTTGAGTTAGTATAGGGCTGGGGTGTTGATCTGTGAGTGCCTTGTGTGGGGCCTAGATGAGGCTGGTGGACCTATTGGGAAATGTCTTTTGTGTGAAGTGTATCATTGGGCATGTGGAGGTATTATTGATATGAGAAAATGCTAAGTAACTGATTTACTATCTGAAAAGGGATTTACTATCGGGGAAATTGAGGGAAGAAGAGACTGAACATAAACTGCACCTATGGATGAGGACAATGGGGGATGGGGAGGGGGCAGAGGGTGGGGTGGGAGCCTGGTGGAGGGGGGAAGAAATGAGGAACCTTTGTAATAATATGAACAATAAAGATTGATTTAAAAAAAAAAAAAAAAAAAAAAAAAAAAAATAAAATTTGAGTATCTGTGGATCTAGTGAATCTAGAGCTTTCCAACCTGTGGACAACAGGTGGTGAACAAGTGATCTTGGCCTCCAAGGTGGCCAGGCTGAGCCACCAGCAGCCTCTTCGGTTTACCCCCAGGTTGGGGGGTGCGGCCTAAAGGCAAGAGGAGGGGGTGAAATGTGCAAAAACCACTGGTACAAAAACAGTTATTTTCATACTTTTACTGTGATTTCCTTAGATGGACTGTAAAACCTTGAGAACAGCCTCTGGGGTCTTCACAGGAGCAGCACACAGTATGACACAGGAGCACACACAGTACGACAGTGGAACCGAGTGTTACTGTAATGGCTGCTGCCAAGACTGAACACAGAATGTCTTCCTTTGGCAAAGCTTCTAGCAAGTACCCACCAGCCTAACCTCTTTCGCTTTCAATGTCAAGTATTCAGAGTTTACAGCCTTCTTGGCTGGCCCTAAGTGATATTAATTCTTCCCCCAAATTAAGTTCCCCACCGCTTGCCTCTCCCAGCAACCGTCCCTGCACCACGGAGAAAGCACCTGGCTGTCTTCTCCCCTGTGGTATAAGGTGGTGAGAAACGACGACGTGAGATCTTGTGATTGGAGATATTTCAGTGCAGCACAGTGAGCCCTCCCGAACAGCACTTTTTAAGTGTGTGAGGGTGGCGGGACATGATTCATGGTTTATTAGAAAAATGATCTTGAAAATAGCCTAGAAGAAAGGTTAAGAAATGAAAGTCTGATGCACAAACACATATTTTTAAATTGAAGTTTGTTCACTTGTCTTGCCTGTTTTTGTGCCCAGGAACGGTAACCCCTAAATTAAGGGGAATTCTGTGTGTCCTTTCTTAAATGTGACTGCTCATGCAGAGACAGTGAAAGGATAGGACAGTCAGTCAGTATTTTAGGTTTTATAGGCCACAGAGTCTTCGTTGCATACTCTTAACTTTTTTGCGTGTCTTAACTTCCCTTTGAAAACTGAATCACAGTCTCAGTTCAAGGGCCTTCCAGATTTTCCCCGTGGGCAACAAGCTGTCAAGCTCTGTTCAGGGAGCTCTCCGGCAGGGAGCATGGGCACTGAGCTGTGCCAAGTCTAAGGCTGTCTGGGCCTGGGAACCCTGATTTGGGGATTTCTTTCAGTGAGTGAGGTGGCTCCTTGCACAGGGATCCTGAGCCGGGTACAGAGCAGGTCAAGTATGCTAGGCATTTAAATTCTTTATGCTTCAGTTTTAGGCCTTACTATTCCAAATGGTTGGTGGAGAAAAGCTCCAGTGTAAACTTACTTCTTCACCACCAATGCCACCCCCAGCCTAAGAGCAAACCCAACTAAGAAATGGAGGAGACACAGGTCAGCTCATCCTACCTCCACAAGCTTGTTTGTGGCGGGGTTCCGATAAGAACAGGGCTTACCAGGGACCAAGGATTCAGTATCTGGAGACTAACATTTCTGAGCTGCCTCCTTCTGGGGGAAAATTATCTCCATCCTCTCTGAAATAAGATCCTGTCCACATTAGCTGCTGTAATACCACATAGTCCCTCCCACCTTCTGAACATCTGAGAAGCAAATACAGTGGAACCTCGGTTCTTGAACTTAATTCGTTCCATAGGGCTGTTCGAGAAGCAATTTGAAAACCAAATCATTTTTCTCAGTAGAAATAATGCAAATGGAATTAATCTGTTCCAGACCCCCACATGATTCATTTAAAAACCCTTCTTATATACAGAATATGCTAATGTAGTTTAATGCATTAATAAACACTTTTTTTTTTTTTTAGTTTGTTGAACTACCCCAATCCTAGCTGTAAAGGAATCGCTTTCAGGACTTGTCCAGGGTGTCTTTCAGGTCAGCACGCAGCATCTTTGCTTGTTCATACATCACTGCCTTCCAAATGCTGTCACTGCTAACTGCTTTCCTTTTATCCAAATCAAGGACAGCTATTCTACCTCTTAATTGTCTGTGATCATTGTTTCTTTCACAACCTTAGCAACATTAGCACTCTTGATGGCCTCTTTATGTTTTAAAATTGTGCTAGTCATTGATTTTGCCAGCAACAAAAGCATTCTCTCCTTTATTGCCTGAGATACGCTTTTTGCCACACTGAGGTATCAGCACAAAAAGGTTGTCAGGTGGAAGTTTGGTTCAACAACAATAGAGACATTCTTTCTGTGAACAACCTGATTGACAACCAAATTGTTGAAGATGGAAGATGTTCAAGAAACGAGGTTTGACTGTATTCTACCAATAATTTTTCCCTTGTTAGGACATTCATTTTGCAGAACATAGTAAGAGAATATGAATTTCTTTCACAAATCTTAATCTTTTAAAATCATCAATATACATATGCTATGATTTTAAGTAATAAATAAACAAGATAAAAATCCCACTCAGAATCTCAATTCTTTCTCTAATCAGTGATTTTTTTTTTTTTTAAAGCAGCTGATAGTTCTAAAAATATACATCTGGTACCAACTAGACAGATTTACAGTATAACTCTTCTGGGGTTAAACGGCAGGCACACGCGCGCACGCACACATGAACTTCAACTAAAAAAATCTAAGCATTCCCAATGGTTCCAAACTCAACAAATAGGTAAAACAAACAAACAAACAACAACCTGATCTCACATATGCCAATCCAGTTGTCTTTTTTAGATTTCTATTTAAAGTATCAGACTTGTTTTCTTCAAAATGTGGTTTTATAGCGGCATTGCCAATACAGCCTTAATCCCAATAGTAATAAAGAGAACTTATTAAGTTAAATATGGAGTCTTCAGAATAAAACTGCAGAGACAATGCTTAATTAAGGGGGAAAATAGCAACTTAGGTTGGAATAAATGTAAGCACAATTAAACAAGCAAAGATGCACTATTAAGAAATGCTGGCGTGCCCAACTGGTGTTGCTCAGTGGTTGAATGCCGACCGATGAACCAGGGAGTCATAGTTTGATTCCAGGTGAGGGCACATGCCCAGGTTGTAGGCAAGACCCTCAGTAGGGAAAGTGTAGGAGGCAGCCAATCAATGATTCTCTTTCATCATTGATGTTTCTCTTCCTCTCTTCCTCTCTAAAGTCAATAAAACACACACACACACACACACACACACACACACACACACACACTGAGTGGCCAGATTATTATGTGTTCAGAGATCACAATAATCTGGTCACTCAGTGTATATAAATACACATATACATATACATATACACATACACATACATATACGTGTGTGTGTTTATATAAAAAATACTGGCGTACCTGTCAGTTGGCACCAGCTCAAGTTCTAGTACAATCAAAACCAGTGAAACTACAAACTTTCCAACTCTTTCAAAGCCCTGGTATTCTAAGGCCACTAGAAAATGGGATAAAGAAAGTAATTATTTATGGTCAGGAAAAGATAATAGTAATGGGGATTTTTTTCTAAATAAAATAAAACAGTAAATTTTAGAGTGTTTCTAAAAGAACACAGTATTCCTCATTCACTTTCCTTAGAATTTTGCACACACAAACACACATACACACAATATTCTTAGTAATTATTTCACATTTTTCAGGTCTCTTCACTACCAATTTTAAAAACAGTTACCTCTCGGTAACTAGTTTTCTCCATTTTGGATATTATATTTCTCTATTTTAGGTTTTGACTTTTTGAACCTGCAAAGAAAACATAGTGACAGACTTAAACAATAAATAAAAACTAAACATCATCCTCTTTAGGTTAGAGCTTTCAGGATAGAGGGAAAAGCATTTTAATTTCATTCAGTAGGTTTTGGGTTCTGCAAGTTTCACTCTTCAGTCCCATCTTCACCATAGAAAACACCTTTGCCATTTCCCTCCACTATCAAAGTGCATCTGTTTAAAATTAAACATACCTTAAAGAAAAACCAAAAATCTCCATAATTTTTGGCAGATGTCCTATATGAAGTGATTTTCCCTTTTCCCTACTCCTCAATTTAAAGCTGTGTACAAAACAGGGTAAATGCAATCCTCTAGGACAGCAGTTTACACACAATGGATTTTGTTTATGTTTCAAGGACCAAAAAGGGAAGGGAAAAATAAAACAAGAATTGAGACGAAACCCTGAGGCAAAAATGGCTTTTCCTTTAGAAGGTCTTCCTGGGCCTCCAACTCCTGTTCCCGTTCATAAGGTTCCCGCAATCTTCTGGGCGGGAAGGCCCTCCTCCAGCCAGAGGGCGGCGGCGGCCCCACTGCGCGTCCGCCTGTGGATGCGCCGAAGCCGCAGCAGGTAGAGGAGGATGGAGAGCAGGACCACCAGGAAGCAGCCGGAGAACAGGTAGTGGTTGTAGACGAAGGAGAAGCCCCGCCAGTGAGCGTGACTGGCCCGGAAGGCCTCCTGCTGGATATCTCTGTCCAAACGGAAACAAAAACCATCAACCCTGAAAGTCACTGAGGACTAATCGGGCAGTAATGTGACTAACAGTGCACAGGACGTGGCTTAGAAGGGCACAGTCAGGACAGCTCTGCAGACACAAACTAACCTTGAGACTCAGTTTCCTTACCTCTAAAATGTAAGATAATATGGCCTAATAGAGGGCACTTGCAAGTATTAATGAGATACTGTAACATGTGAAAAGTGCACTCATCATAATTTGGTTATAATAAAAATCAGAGACATTTAGAACTGTGAGGGTTTCACTGTACGCGGAAGGCAATGTGGAGTCAAACCATGTTTCTGATCAGTGATACCCACTACTCACAACTTCTGCAGTTGGCCCCGCATCAAGTATTGCCTGCAGATGCTCAAAGAAATGAAGGGGGCGGGTGGGGGAACTGAGAAAGTAAGACCTCATTTATCAGTGAACCAGGGATCTGTAAGGTCTACTGAGAGCCTGTCTGTGAGCCTGTATGGGAAAAGCACACATCTTTCTTTACCCACCTCCAACTAATGCAGTGTCCACTGGACAGGAAGTAGCCAGCAAACTACTGTAATAGCAGCAGGACCTGTGATTTGTTCCTGGTGAAACTCACAGGTCTCTAGTTCACACTGTGGTGCTCTGCAGATGCCTTAAAATATGACCCTAGGTCACTACACTGAAATTACAGAAGGTACCATTTCTGTTGTCAGACCTCATAATTTTATATTTTTTATAAAGAACACAGATTACTATGTTATAAACTTATTTTCTATAATATCTTGATAAATATATTTCAACACAATGGTTTCCTCTGTAACCTATATATTAATGTTATGCACTAAAAACATTATTTTGAGAGGGGCTCAAGGCCATAAATGTTAAGAACCTAGAACTGATCCTTCTGTGTAGGGGTTGGGGAGCTGACACTTGAGAATGCACATGAAGGGATGGGGAGGAGCAAGGGAAGGACTAGGGGTGAGGGTGGAGCAAAGTCAAACTCAACAGCCTGCAATTCTGCCCCCGGTCAGTGCTAACAAGAGTACCCAGAAATTCACAACCTACAGCTGCCATAACGATTGCAAAAGAGAAAAGCATCTTGCGTATGGAAAAGCATCCATACCTTAAGGGTAAAAAGCGGGTCCTGTAGAGGATTGCTCCAAGGGTCCACTGCACCTCCTTGTCATAAACCTGCAAAGCTGTCTTTAGGGTTTTATAGTTGACAGGAAAGGAGAAGCCCCTGTGAAACACCTCGAACATCCAGGCAGACTTGAAGCACTGGTACCTGCCAACACCAAGCACACACAGAAGTGGGACTGACTCACTTGTCAAAATAAACAGTACACAGACAGTCTTCCCCTGTGGGACCAGCGTGGCTGACGGCTTCACGAGGCCAGTGCTCTGTGCAGCCACACCAACTGCTTGCATTTCAAGGAGATTGACGTAGTCTATGTGCCTGTCCCACAACACAAAACAGTTTATCTGGCAAATCAACCAGCTTATGAAACCTGGCTCAGGAGAATTTAGTACATTGGGTGATGCAATTTTTCCTCTGGCATTCCAGATCTTATTCATTAAATAAATGCTGAGCAAGTTCCAACTTCTTAGGCCTCATTTTCATTATTATAAAATGAAAAGAGGAAGGTCCTTTTCCCTGTTATTCTATGACTCTAACTATTTATCAGAGGCTTATTTTTTGCAAAGCAGTGGGCTAAGCAAGTTTATTAGACTAGTGGCCCAGTGCACAGATTTGTGCACAGTGAAAGGAAATTAATTGAGGTTGGCCAGGGGGGCAGGACTGGGTGAGATGGGCCAGACATGCCCTGGAGCCAACCTCCTCTGGTCCCTTCCCAGCCAGCTGCACCTGGGGCAGCAACATAGCTCGAAGGGCGTCTACGGAGGGAGCAGGGTCCCCCCAGCAGATAAGGTCCCTTGGCATAGCCTGAGGGGATCACCGAAAATGGCTCTCCAACATCCTCTGAGAGGTCCCAGAGTGCGAGAGGGTGCTCTGCAAAGTTGCTGTCCTACAGGTTATGGAACGCAAGAGCAAGTGTGCAGTAAACCAGGTTTGGGGCCGACAGTACCCCAGTAACAACATAACCGACAGCCAAAGGTGAGATCGCATGGAGAAATCAGGCTCCCTCCTCTCTGGGTCTGCGGTGCATCACCCGAGAGAGAACCACCACTGCCAAGTCGTCGCAGCTCTGCAGCTCCTGCGTTGAGCGTCTGCCCCTTGGTGGTCAGTGAGTGTCGTACCTACTAGCCAGTCGGCTGGCTGCTTAGCCTTTTATATACAAGTATATAGTATAGATAATAATAAGTAATACGATAGTCAATGTACTTAAACAACTTATAATGAAAAGATGTTTTTAAAGCAACAAATAACTATCAACAAAACAGAAATGGTAAACACCACTAGAGAGACATAATGAGTGCTCTGGAAACCCAGAGGGAAGAAGGGAGTCTGGCTGAAAGGGAGACTCAAAAGGGACAATGCCCACTCTAAATGGTGCCTGGGCAGGACTTCAACAGCCAAGGCTGAAGAGGAGAATCAAGGTGCAAAGTGCAGCAAAAGTGAGCAAAAATACATCTGGAGCAATATATGTTTGGGCACAAGAATGTGTCATCATGATTGAAAGGAGGCCAGGCCAGAAGAGGAGAAACAGTGCTTGACAAAGATAGACAGATGGCTGGGTCGGGGTGCAGCGAGCTAGGGGCCCTGCTGAATGTGCTGTTTCTAAACACACTCTGGGCTTGGCCGTCCATGACTTACTTTAGCCTGTGGAGGTCCGCGTGAGAGGCATACAGTCCTCGGTCAAAGCGCTCTCGTAAGATCGACCACTTTGTTGCACAATAATCCTGAAAGAAATTTTACCCAAAATAAATCATCAGTAAAGGTTTATTCAAAATTTGTTTCATTAAAAAAAGAGTTTATCAAATTCTTATTCATAACAAGCATATCCTTCCAATTAGAACAGAAGCCTCACTTATATGTGTATACCAAGAAGACTAGGGACACAGACATGCAGTAACACTACTGATTAGCAGAGTGCTTGTTCCTGGTCTTAAAATTCTGCCAAAGTTACTGTTAAAGAGACAGTCTCTCCCACGAGATTCTAGGAACACAAAAATGATTACAAAAGAACTGCATCTTCCAGAGAAGGGAAAGAGGTGCCACCTTTCCCTGAAGCTATCTGTAATCATATTAATAGCTTACATGTATAGAGCACTGTGTAAGTACCTTTTCTAGATGTAAATCTTAAAATGACTCCTCAACAAGGCTACTATTCTAATTTGAAGGATGGAGAAACTGAGACTCAGAGAAGCTGAGCAACTTGCAACAGGGCACACGGAGAACAGCACTCAGCCTGCAGTGAGAGGGTAAGGACAGGCATCTCAGGCACAGGAGCCACCTTGATGAAGATGAAACGGGAAGTAGCACTCGTGAGGGAAACCAACAGCTGTCTGCTGTGATCAGAGTATAAAGAGCTCGGTGGGGAGATGACTCTACAGGGCAGGGATGACATGCTAAGGGATCTGAAATGTATCCTGGAAGGCAAGGAAGCTGCTGAGGGCTTTAACAGGGCAGGTGAGGCACTGTGTTTTGACAGAACACTCTGGGAGTGGCTGGAAGATGAATGATGAAGACCAGATGCAAGAAGGCCAACTGGGAGGCTCCCGCAATAGTGCAGGTGACTGACAGAGGCTGATAGAACAGAACGCAGGGAGGGCTCTGAGAAATATCTATGACACCAAGTAACATGCTTGATTATACAGGGGTGTTCAGCAAGTGACAGGGGAGTCTACAAGTCCTGGGTTTTCTGGGAAAGGACTGGATGGTTAGTGATGCCATTAGCTGAGACCATAACAGGGATTGGGTGGGGAAAAAATGGTAGATGTATTTGGTGTCGTGACATCTAGCAGGCACGAGGTGGAGGTCAGGACTGCAGCCTATTCTTGAGAGACAGCAGCAAATCATGAGAATGGATGAGACCACCCAAGAACTTGAGGGCCAGAAAGTCAAGAGTGCATGTTTGGGGTCAGCAAGATTTAAGGGTGTGAAGGGGGAACCCATGAAAGAGCCTAAGGAACTGTCAGAAAGGAAGGGATAACAAGAGAATGGAAGTAGGAAGGCTGCATGGAGTCCTGTCAGATGATAATTCCATTATGACACACCAGTGGGAAGGGCTGTAATCTGGGAGCCACTGAGAGCAAACTAGTTCGTAGAGTGGGGGCAGAAGTGAGTCTTGCTCCTGCTGTGACTATTTCTCTCACCCAATTCCCAATGACATCCTCCACCTTTCCCTTCTCTCGACCTGAGCCTGGGCCTCCAATTGTAAAGGGAAGATGTGACCTGCCACTGTCTATATCAGTCTCTCAAAGCACACAGAAAATGCTTTCCCTGAAGGTTACCTTTGCAGCTTTAGTAAACGCAACCGCATTGTAGTCTCCTCCCATTCGTAACACGTCTTCAGTGCAATAGTAGAATTCAGAAAAGCCATAGAACTCGCTGTTCTGGAAGTGGATGGGGGGCTGGTAGACCCCATTGAGGGAAGTCTGTGTCTCGTTTGTTTTGTTCATGAAAGGCTGGAGAGTCTCTCGGCACAGGTCAAAGTCTCCCGTTCCCCGCAGGTACATGGTCTGCCCATTTTGCTGGATTTCATCTTTAATGTCTAGGGGTAAACAGGGGTCCAGGTATGGAGTGTCAGGAGCTAGACCAGTCTGCTTCCCCAGGAGCCTATGGAACAAAGAAAAACTTTATCATGAGGCGGACAGAAAACTGTGTTCTGAAGAAAGTGACTTGGGGCCAGTGCCTCTCAAAATGTGTTCTGTGGAACATAGAGGGTTCCAGGATCATTAGGCGAGGGGAAGACACAGTTGAGCCCCTGTGAGACAAGACACGCTTCTGTATGGCAGACACCTTCAGAGTCCAGTGAAACAACTACCTGTGACCCAATGCCTTCCATTTTCTGCACACAGCCTGGAGTCCCCACCCCTCAGTGCTTGTGGTCCATAAGCTCCGCCCACTCCTATGTTCACAGCCCCATTTCTGCAACTAGCACTTGTGACTTTTTATTATATAAAGATGAAATATGACTGAAAAAAGGTAACAAGTGAAAATGTATCCTGTGAAAACTAGGTTAGATGTCTTAGAAAAATATGATAAAGGCAAGTTGTTAGAAAACTGCTGTCAAATTAGGTGTTAGCAAGATTTAAGAATAATTTAGAAAAAGGAGAAAATATCTAGACAGATTTGGTATCAAAGTCTTCAAAAATGTCTTTTAGTTCCTGGTATTCTTTAAAGAAAGTCAAAATGATATCGAGCTGAGGGAGGACAGAGCACACCTGAGAAATGATGATGTAGCCTTAAAACAACACTTCAGTCCAGAGCAAAAGGTTGGCAAATAGACACGTACGCTAAAGCAAAATGCTTGAGGTTTGATTCTATTTTTATAATTGTTTTAACTGATTTTTAAAAAATTAATCAACTACTGACCTAAAGTGTTGCATATAAGAGCATTTCTATTGTGTTACAGGCTCTGAGAAGCTCCACAGAAAAATCTTAACTTTGCTCACCAAACTGCACTATGTATGCTTCCTAACTTGTCAATGAAATTCCCAGGTATCACAATCTGTCCTACTGCTACGTGTACTCACTGTGAGGCATCTGAGGAACAGGGAAGAGCTTCCAACACTGGAGTTATGTTAGTGTCTGATACCAGGAAATCACAGGGACTACAGGGTGTCTAGCTACTAGGAGAGTGCCTGATTCAGTATTCAGTTACTGATAGTAATCAAGTGTTTACTCAACTGACAAGTTGTTTATTCCCAAGATCAGAACTCAAAATGCACTTGAATATAATGCATTAAGGTCTTTGCTACTAATTAAAAAATCAATCATCACTACTAAAGGCAAGAGGATAAATATTTCAAGGCTCAAATTCATAACATATATAAAAAGTGTTGACTACCATTTATAATTATTATAAAAGTCCAAGACTAGTCAAATGTATACTTCATGCTGTTTTAGTTGCTTGCCCTTCATTTAAATTAAAGGTACCACTCAAATGTCCATTATTCAAGTTTGTTGACATTAAACCAATAGTAAACATTAGGGTTGCAGAAGAAGTCATTTTTCCAAAGTTCTGATTCAAATGTCACTTATGAAATATTTCTATTTTAAGACCTTTGTAAAAAATAATTATACTAAGATGTGCTATATAATATGCTACCTTAAAAAAGAAACAATGGGACTACCAATCTCTTGACAACACTATTTAATTAACATCTGGAGCAAAGAACAAGTTTTCTTGTCCTTTTCTAGTCACAAATAGGAATTTCTGAAAAATTTGGTATCAAATGGCTCTGACTTCTTGGACTTCCTTAAAGTTCAGGCCTCCACAGGTTTAAGATTAAACTGATCAAGGAAATATACTATCATTTATCTCTATGAATAAGAATTTCCCCCTCAAAACTGTTTCATCAAAAAGAAGAAAACAGCCAAAACTGGTTTGGCTCAGTGGATAGAGCGTCGGCTTGGGGACTGAAAGGTCCCGGGTTCGATTCCAGTCAAGGGCATTTATCTTGGTTGCAGGCATATCCCCAATGGGGGGTGTGCAAGAGGCAGCTGATCGATGACTCTCTCTCATTGATGTTTCTGACTATCTCTCTCCCTTCTTCTCTGTACAAAAATCAATAAAATATATTAAAAAAAAAAAAAGAAGAAGAAAACAAAATAGTAATTATACTTGATCTCCCATTTCAGGTATTTTTATCCATCCAAATGGCTTTTCTGTTTTTATGGACTACTTTCAAATAAATATTGTTATATAAACTTTTAAAATAAATGTAAACCTATAGTGTTGCTTTTATTTATTTTACATATTCTATATATCAGAATTCTTCAGAAACTTGTTTTAAAAAGTTTCACTGATGTGTTTAAAACTATTAACTTGGACTCGTAGATCATTTCTTTCTCTTGCATAACTTCCTTCACTATGGTCTTATCTACTAAATAAGTGACAGGCTAGTTGTCAGAATATCACATAATTCAATTTTATCACCAGTGACAACTTTATCACACTTCCTGCAGGCTCCGGGCAGCTGCCGTGGGGCTGGTGCTGAGTTTCCCAAGGGCTCTGCAATCTGGAAGCATTACCCAGGGCTCAGAACTACCAACATGCTAAGAGTAAAATTATCCTCCATCAGTGGAGTGGGTCTGAGGGACAGCCACAGCCACCTCTGGAGCCTGGTGGAATGATGTCAGGTTAAAGGCAGGACCCAGGTATCCTTTCACTTCCTCTCCCACTCAGCTGACAGAGGAATAAAAAGCTAACAGTGCTGACAGGCTTCTGCTGATCGAGGTCTCCCTGCTTTGCCTCGTATGTTTTCTAGGAGGAGAGACCTGGATTTGAACATGCCTGCTGAGCAATGAAAGGTGCTTTAGCCGAAACCGGTCTGGCTCAGTGGATAGAGCGTCGCCTGCTGAATGAAAGGTCCCAGGTTCGATTTCCGGTCAAGGGCATGTACCTTGGTTGCGGGCACATCCTTAGTAGGCTGTGTGTAGGAGGAGGCTAATCGATGATTCTCTCTCATCAATGTTTCTGGCTCTCTATCCCTCTCCCTTCCTCTCTGTAAAAAAATCAATAAAATACATTAAAAAAAGAAAAAGAAAGGTGCTTTACCTGTTCTTTTGAAACGTGTTGGCAAATATCTTGTCTTCATATCTCTGACGAGCAGCATTGCCACCAAACCCAAGAAATGTGGCCACATAGACTCGGTACACATGCTCAGTCTGGTGAACATCACATCCAAGGTTAAATTCAGCCAGCAAGTTCTTAGCTACTTCTTCCTGACGACGAAAGATAACAAATGTTAATATTTTAAGCAATACAAAAACAATCACCTCCTTTAAAAATAAGGATCTAAGAAATTCTCATCTAAATGAAGCAAAAATTTCTGCTTCTGTATTTCCTTTTAAGTGTCCCTTCTAATGACAATTCTGATTTAAGAGATTTCAGATGCATTGCCCATGTATGGTATTACAACTTTTTGAAAAAGGTAGTAACATAGTTCATTTCTGCTAACCTAGTAAATCTATTTAAGGAATTCTATGTTTTGTAAGTAATCCTAAACATTGACAAGTCTCTCTACACAAATGTCTTTTGAAATTCTGGGACAGAAAAAGCTGGACATCATCTAAATGCACAACTCCCAGGAGGGTTTACAACTTATACTAATCAAGTTCATGAAAGAAGATACTTATTCGCTGTTAATTAAAGGGCACAAAACTGCATAAACAGTTAGATTATAACCACATTTACAAAAACAATGAAAAAAGAGAAAAAAGAATGAAAAGAAGTAAAACCAAAATGATAACTATTTCTTTAGATGACTCATCATTAGGACATTTTTAATACTGATCTGTATTTTTTAAGCTTGCTTTATATATATTTTTTACTCTATTCTGAAGAGAATGACATGACTTTTTAGCGAGTGTAAGTTTCTAGAAGCAGGTCTAGATAGGAAGTAGGAAACACTGATTGTAATATTTGAATTTACAGAGCACTCTTCTAAGGAGTTTAATAAATATGTCATTTTTGGGTGAACACTAGGTGGCCAGCAATGCATTAGACACATGCGCTATGTCCTTTAAACCTGATGATAACTCTAGTTAGAGGCACTTCCATTCACATTCATAGATGGAAACCAGCTCAGAGAAGTTAAGTTACTTGCATAAGGTCACATAACTGGTGAGCACAGGATGATGATGCAGCCTAGGCTTCTTGCCCAGCACCGGTGTTTTTAACTATGACAATACGCTGGGTGAAAGTAGAGGGGACCAGGCTTTGGTATTAATTTACAGCAGAATGGAAATGGGGTGATAAAGACATGTAGCAACTTCAGGAATATATCTGGAAACCCTTCTGCTGCTCTCTACATGAGGCCACCAGCCTCTTGGGAAACTGCTCTCAGCGACTGAGAGCACTAAGGGATGGAGAACAGACAGCAAACCGAAGTTCAGAAACGTGGCAGCAGTGAATACAAACCTCAGTCCTTTCTGAAAAAGTCGAAAGCTATCTGAACCGTTAAAAAAAAGTGTATTCCCTAATCATATCAAGTTATCTGATGTTATTTTAAGTTTTTCAATCCCCGATGAGAAAAAGAACTGAAGAGAAAATAGAAACCAAATTCAAGCATGTGATTGGCCCGTATATCAAAGAAAAACTCCGTGTAAGTTCAGAAAACAAACCAGCTGACTTCAATGACCAAACACAAACGGCTTAGGGAGGTTTGCCTTGGCTTCCTCCCGTCTCCTTCTCCTGGGTTGAGCAGAGGTACCTCAGCAAGCACAGTAAAGGCGTGTTCAGACTCAGAAAACAAAACAAAAATGGATGGAGACATGTTAAATGAAACCAAATCAAAAGAAGGAAATTTGTACAGATAATAACCTGCTGTGAGGAGGCAAAGCTTACAGTTTTGGGGACTTCGTATGCTATCTGGGTTGACACGCCTCCCATGTCGAGAATACCGGCAGTTCTTTTCCGGAGAATGGCTTCCCTGCTCTCGCTTCCAGGAATGTTAACCTCCACAACTGCCTCGTCATCTGGAAGCACGAGGAACACCCATTGGAACAGAACACATCCAGAAACTGCGATCTTCGCAAGAGGCTCCTGTTTCACGGTACGTTTCAAACATTTCTAGGCAAACCCAGTCTCCTCTCCCCATGAAAATCAAGCTGTGGAAAACAGCAATTCCTCTCATCCCACCCTACACTCAGCTGTGTCACCAAACTTAGCTCCTTTCTATCCTTTACACCACACAGAAAAAGCCATACTTTCCAGTTATACGCATTAGTTGGGAACATGATACTTACCATCTTCAATGTGCTCAAATCGTCCGAGGACAAAATTAATGCCGATCCAAGCATACACACCTGTAGACATTACACAGGGTAAAGATAAGAATAGTTTTTAAAATACTTTGTAAAACTCTGATCAATACTGTCTGTGCAAACATCTCATTTATTTTACTCCCTGAAAACATCATCTGAAATAACACACTTCTACTATGTATTTTATCTTTTTCTAATGGCTTTATAAGAAAACCCTAGTTTAAAATTTATATTTTCATATCACTTACATAGGTTGAAAATATAACTCCTAGAGGCTAAGTTTCCTTAGAAATTTATAGGTTGTTTTCAAATACTGGAGTTTTTATTTTATTTTATGAAGTTAAACCTATCAATTGCAAGGTTTTAGAACAAGTTAACTTTGACTCTTTCGTTTCCTTTACCTTTTACTTTCACTCATTGCAACACCTGATTCTCTTTTTACAACATTGCCTACATCCAATCATTACCCGTTTTCATTACCATCTTGATTTTAACAATTTAAGTTCCTAAGTAGGGTGCTTTCTTTTATTTTCCAGAAGGTGGCAATATAGCACAAGTTTTTGGTTTCTCTTACCAGAGCTTGGTATGTTGGCAGCATGCTCATAAAAAAAAAAAAAAAAAAAAAAGAAAGAAAAAAAAAAGAAAGAAAAAAAAAAAGAAAAAGAAAAGAAAAGAAAGAAAAAAGCTGATGGAGGGGGATTGAAGGAGAAGAGTGGCCACTGAGTTAGGCCAGTGGTCTGCAAACTCGTTAGTCAACAGAGCCAAATATCAACAGTACAATGATTGAAATTTCTTTTGATAGCCAAATTTTTAAACTTAAACTATATAGGTAGGTACACTGTTATTAGGGTACTTAATTAGGGAACTCCTAAACTGGCCTTTGCTAAAAACTCAAGGGGCCAAGAGCCGCATGTGGCTCTCGAGCTGCAGTTTGCCGACCACTGAGTTAGAGGAAGTGTGTGCTCAGCACTTGGTGCTTTCGGTGTGTCCACAGAACGGAGATGGGTATCCTTGAGTGAGGGGTGTCTCAGATGTCCATGGGTGATCTTTTTTCCTTTGCCTTTTCCCTTCCCCAGTCATTGTGATATCTTCTCAGAGACAACAACAGGTTCCTCCAACTGCAGCAGCACAGCCAGACAGACCCTCACTCACCATCTGCATCCTCCACCTGCTCTGCCAGAAAGGTTGTCCTGGCCTGCTGCACGTGCCCTGCCACTACTCGCCTGGCTCCACAGCCTCCTCTAGGATCCAATTCACCCACTTTCTGGTGGACAGATGAGATATCTTTCAGCTGCCCTCATGTGCTATGCAGAGGTGTGTATATGTTGTTTTAAATGTCTGATTATTAATCAAATGGGAGAGAAAGAATGATTCACGCTGCCATGGCAATGATGTCACCAAGACCTGTCCAACTGTTTCTATTATTAACACCTTCAAAAGGGACCATAATGTAGTCAAACCTATCTGTACCTCTGTCTATAGTTCAGCTTTTTCAACCTGTGTTGACTAAAACAATTTCTTCTGCCTGGAATGTATCTCTCAGAGCCCTACCTATTCCATGCTCTGGCATGCTATAACTACCTCATTAGTTCAAATGCCATTTTCTCCATGATGCCCTTAGCTAGAAATAAAAAGTCTCCCTCTTTCAAATTCCCATGATGTTTTTCCCTTACTGTCCTTAAGGTATCTAAAACTGTAACTCATATAGCAGTTAACTGTGTACCTCTCTTGCTTGTAAACATAACAATGGCAATGTCTGTATTTCACCCAATTCTATATTCTCTACAGTGTCTTTCATAGAGATGCTAAAATGATAGATGACTTTGAAATAAATGTTTTTTTAATTTCCATTTCTAATAAGCTATTACACAAATGTCACTGACGAGTCATTTAATTCTCAAATAATTTCTTTGAAAACAGAACTAATATTTTCTCAGTGTATCAAAGTCAAGAGTAATTTCTCCTTTCTAGAGAGAAAATCAATAGAAGGCTCCAATAGCTCAATAATGATCATAATTCCAGAAAGCTGTGTATCTTAGGAAAGGAGCACAAAACTTTTCTATTAAAAGGAGTTTAAAGTTAATTTCCTACATGTGGTGAAGATAAACTAAGTTATTTTTGCAATAGTTTAATGTTTGGTTAATAAAGGCCAGCCATGTAAGAAACTAATTTAAACATTTTAAAATTATAATATTTCAAAGCCATGGTTTTCCAAATTTTAAGATATGAGAAGTAATTTAATGTAGTATACACAGTGGGAAAGGGAAAATTTAAAGCAAGTTTCCTAAATTTCAAAGTGAAGACCAATATACTAACCTTCCTGTTTCCCTGAAATTACTTCTGCATGAGAGTCAGAAAACAGAAAGTCATAATGCACGGGGATATCAGTCAGAAGGTCTTCCAGGATGGCTTTCTGCTGGCTGTAAGACAATCCAAAATTGTACATATCTAAACATGATATACCGAATTTTTGCTTTTAAAAAAGGAACACCCCTCCCCACTATGGCTTTGGTATATCCTATATAAAGTTTAAAACCAAAGCAATTCATTGAAAAGATTGTTAATTTTAGGAATGAATTTTCAAGAGTTGTATGTATTATGTGATTCTTAGATATAAAACTACAAATCCTTAAACTAATAACATATAAAATAAATTTTTTAAATGACAACTTTATAGTTTACTATTTACAGTCATAAACAAATATATTAAAAATATTTGGTGAGTTTTAGCTAGGAAATAGTTCTGGCACTATTCCAGATTTGAAAAAAGGAATTTGTGTATCTTCATTTTGGTGGTGATAATGGATGAGGAGGAAACAGAAGAGGAAAAGAAAGAGAAGGGAAATGAGGAAAATAAACCACCACAGGCCTGGACTGCCCTCACCTTTCAGGAAGGACCCTCATTCCAGCTGTGCAAAGAATGTAGAGAGGGGTTTCTTTGTGTTTTGCCCGTGGCACATGCTCTGCAGCAAAGTTCAGGAGCGGAGAAATGTAATCACTGGCTTTCTCTGGAGAGGTAGCAAATTCTGAAATGCCTACAGAAAAAGGACACCTCCGTTAACAAGCAGATATTTCAGCTAATAAGTTATACTTCGTTAATGTGGCTGATTTGAGAGAAATTCAAGCTATACACCATTCTTTCCTTATTTTTTTCCTATCTCTCTGGAAACACCTTTCCGTTTCCCTTTCTCAAATGATGGTACTAAACGATTAGCCCCTTGTTCTCTTATTCTTACTCATCAAAAATCACAGATCTAAGCGAGATCTGTATAAACACTTAATTGCTGCCCATGGGAAACGAGCTCCCACCTTCCTCACTCTCATGGTTAGCACCACCATCAGATTTCTTATCAGATCTCTTCTCCAATCTGCAGAGCAGTGTGTGCTTACTGCCTGGTGAACAAGGCTCACAAATCTGAACAATAAACCTGCTCTTACTGCCTGTTACTCACCTCAGTGACCACTATCACTAGCCATCCAGTGGCCCACCCTGATATCCTAAGTAAAATCCCTCTCCCTCATCCCAACATGTATTCTGGGTTTCATCCATTGCATCTCCTTGTTTCCTCTCACATTTTTTCACTTCTCTTCATCTTTTCTGAATAACCCCCTCTGCCAGCCTACACATCCTACTGTCCAGTCTTGAAATTCCCCGACCGTACCCTATGAAAAAGGGGTCTCTTTCTGGCTTAAAATCCTTTTTGGGCTCCTCAATGCCCTCCAGATAAAGTTCAACTCTAGAATGGCATAACCTGCCCTGCATACTCATACATCCTGTCTCTTCCCATATTCCTTCCATTTGGCTTCAACTACACTGAATAAAATTTCTATACCATATGCTGGCTTTATGGCTGATGTACCCCCACCAGGAATAGCCTTCTCTTTCCCACCCTACCCACTTCCCACTTCTTTTCACCTTCTAACTCCTCCTCATCCAGAGCTACTTCCTCTACTGAATTCTTCACCAGCAGTTCCCTGAAGATAAGCTCTCTTTACATTCTATGCTTATGTACCTTTACCTCTAGTCAAGCATTCATTACCTTATCAAAATTACCTATTAACATCCTTGTCTCATTTCAACTGGAAGTTTCTCAAGGGCACAAACTGTGTCTTGTTCAAATTTATATTCTTAGCACTAACGTAGTGTCTAGAAAATAGTAGGTGCTCAGCAAATATTTGCTGAATGAATACATAAGTAGTGAATATTCCTGTCATTGAGCCTACAATACTAAAGATGAAGGGAATTTCAGAAGTCCAAAAATTCCTTATTTCACAGACTAGGAATTTGTGGACCCAGCCAGATAACTGTTGCTGTAATGCTATACACAAGAGACCATGCTTCCAGGAAGAGAAGAGCTATAAAAAGGTTCCTGATTGTCCACTTCCAGCTATAACAAGTGCTATATAGTTTGTTTTTAAAATCCTGGTGAATTTTTCGCCGGGACCAGTTTGGCTCAGTGGATGGAGCGTCGGCTTGGGGACCGAAGGGCCCCAGGTTCGATTCCGGTCAAGGGCATGTGCCTTGGTTCCGGGCATATTCCCAGTAGGGGCTGTGCAAGAGGCAGCTGATCGATGACTCTCTCTCATTGATGTTTCGAACTCTCTCTCTCTTCCTTCTACTCTGTACAAAAATCAATAAATTTTAAAAAAATAAATAAATAAAATCCTGGTGAATTTTTCATTTGATCAATATTACTTTAACACTAAAAACGTTTCTAGATTAGAATATATAAAAATTTCAGAAGTGGAAAAATAGAAAAGTAAAAATTAAAAGTCATCCACTAAGGTTTAGAGAAAAAAATAATGATCTTTGTTAACAAAAATGTACTCTGATTCAAAATAATGCTTGCAACAAGAGACTCAGATTAAGTTCCCTTTCTTTATCCTGAAAAATGTAGAGATTTTGACTTTTCAGAGCACTATGCTGGTGCTCAGATGCCCAAACATCAAGGACAATAACTTGTTTGATGGTTGCCTACAGAAGGAAGTGGGGCCTGAATTATTCAATGGAGAATTAAGTAGGACTCAAGGGGCCTTAGAGTCCATGTAATTAGGAACCATTTTATGAGGACAGATATTCTGTTATGTTACAATTGAAGGTCCCTCCCGGCCAGGTAGCTCAGCTGGTTAGAGCCTCATCCCGGTACACCACAGCTGCAGGTCCAATCCTGGTTAGAATACATATAAGAAGCAACCAATGAATGCATAAATAAGCGAAACAATATACCAATGTCTGTCTCTCTCTTAAATCAATAACTAAAAAGTTAAAAACAAAACTGAAGCTCCTTTTCACTTTTGAAATAGGAGATGACTATGATAATTATTTTTATCAACATTCAATATATTAGTAGTTTAAAAAATGAATTCCTTGGGTTGTTTGGATTTAATATTTTACCATCTAACATATTTGACAAGAAGAAATTAAAGGACTGAATCTCTACTGTCTTTGGTTCACTGTATTAAATCAGTGATTATCAACTATCAAGACATAAAATGCCTATTTCAAGGTCCTGACACCTTCCATTCCTAATGTTACTGAAGAAGAGCGCTGCCTGTATAAATTATATAGGTACAAAAAAAAGGTTGAGAATTACTTATATAAATTATCTAAAGGAGAAGGCACAGAAGGCACATCTCAATTTTTCTATAACTCACAGACTTAGAAATTGTATATCTTTAAAAACTGGACATATCCCTAGCCAGTATTCTCAGTGGTTAGAGCATTGGCCCATGAACTGAAGGGTCTCTCTTGAGTTTTATTCCTGGTCGAGGGCATGTACCTGGGTTACAGGTTTGATTCCTGATCTCAGTTGGGGTGTGTGCAGGCCGTAACCAATTAATGTGTCTCTCAATGTCCAGCCCCCCCCCCCCCCCCCCCCCCCCCCCCGCCCCGCCACTCCTTTCTCTTAAAAAAAACAAACAAACAAAAACCCCACAAAATAATGGAAAAAATATCCTAGGTGAAGATTTATAAAAACAAAAACTGGACATAATGAAATCCAGCTCTTCTATGTTTTATGGTCATCCTTATAAAATAATCTAGATTAGAAATACATCGTGGCAGCAATTTTTAAAATAACATATACTAATGTATTATTTCAAGTACAGATTTTTATGATTATCTAAAATTGCCTTGTCATTAATGAGCGAGACCAATGACTACACAATAGGAAAAATAAAAACCTATATAATAAAGAACTAATATGCAAATGGTTGTCATGCCCTCATGCCATCACACCAGAACTGCTCAGACACTCAACACTGTGGAGAGAGGAATGGGGACCAGCCAGGCACAAATGAACTCACGATAGAGGAATGGGGACCAGCCAGGCTGCAGCCTGGGAGAGGGATAAGCTACCTGCCCACCCCATGGTCCCGAGCACCTGCGGTTGTAGCCCAGGAAAAGCCACCCCCTCAAATCCTCTGTGGCTGTGGCTGTCCCTATGAAGCTGGTCTGGGTCCTGCAGCCAGCCAAAGGGAGGAAAGTTCGGGTCTCAGGTGCCTGTGATGAGCCAGAGGAGGGAATCCTGGGTCCCAGATGTAGGGCGAGGCAGAGGCGGTTAGGGGCAATCAGGCCAGCAGGGGAGCAATTAGGGGTGATCAGGTAGGGAGGCAGAGGGGTTAGGGGCAATCAGGCAGACAGGCAGGCGAGCAGTTAGGAGCCAAAGGTCCCGGATTGGAGAGGCAGTTGGACATCCCCTGAGGGGTCCAGGATTGGAGAGGGTGCAGGCCAGGCTGAGGGACACCTGATCCCATGCATGAATTTCGTGCACCAGGCCTCTAGTCCTTCCATAATTAATGTCAATTAGCAAACATTTGAGTGGACACCATGAATAAGGTAAATGCTGCAGAAGACAAAAGAAAGACATGGTATTTTTATATTTTATTGAGGTGTTAGTCGCCTTATGCAAGGATAGAAAAAAATAAAGGAAGTGAAAAAAGTAAAACAAGGAGAACAATTGGGTCCTGCTATGAGAGAAAAGGAAAATGTGAAACGTCATAGAGAATGAAAGGACAGAACCTGTATATCAGTCAGATATTTATCTCTTACATACCTGGTTTTATTTTCATAACCACTGGCTTTCGGTTCTTATCCCTCATTTGTCTGATATCCAACAGGTCATGAGGATTGCCATTATGCCTGGGCCAGCAATAGACAAATATTCGAGACCCACTGCTACCACAGTCCACCACGATACCATAGTTCACATTGGGGTTATTGGTGTCTGTAGCTTCAATGTCAGTGACTCGTGCCAAGTACCTAGTTTAGAACAACAAACATATACTTTTGAAACATATACTTAAACCTAAAGGTGTAAGCTCAATAAACAAACACCAAGTCACTGATTTCTAAGTGCAATGACAGCAATATAACATTTTTACAACTGCCAAATGATCAGTCAAAGGAAAACAAGTAACAGTGATAAAGATTATCTAAATCAGATACACTAATTATTCCTTTAAAGAAGTTCAAACCAGTTCTGAAAAGCAAAATTACTTCCCAACTATCAATATTAACTGAAAAATCAGCTTAAACAATATCACAGGAGAAGCTTATATTAAATCCTCTTATGAGGAGGATTTGGCGGTTAATGATTAAATAGTTTCAGACAGTTGAATTTTTCACGCCAGCTGTAATCAATCAGTGCAGCATCTGTTTCCTATAGCTACAGGCTCCTTAAAGGCCACCTAATCCCAAAGTCTTGAAGCCATGAAATGAAGGTGTGGCATCCCATCTAGAAAATAAATGGTTTGTTTTCTCTTACCTTTGAAACTTTTTGTCTCTGGATAGTCGCCCATATTTATTTCGGATTATGACAACAGAAAAGTATAAAAGTGAAACAGCAGCAGCTAGAATACTAATAACAACAATTTGGCGTAAATTGGTATTCAAAATTCGAGGACATCCCACTGGAGAGATGCTAAAATGCCAGGAAGCAGGAAAAAGACAGGAGATGCCAAGTCTGAAATTCCAAAAAACAAACAAAAAAACAGATTTTAAAGCACTCTGCTCCAAAGAGGACTCCTTCACTTAAACTGATCCAAAACAAGACATTCAGTTTGAGCTGCCCCGACTTCCCTGCCGATAGGCATCTGTATACCAGCACTTTCCACATTACTACTTTGCTACATAACTCATTAGTCATGTGCTGCATGAAGATGTTCCAGTCAATGACGGACTGCATATATGACAGGGGTCCTACAGATGATAATGAAGCTGAGTCCTATCACCAGTGACGTCATAGCGCAGTAACACATTACTTACCTTTGTGGTGATTCTGGTGTAAACAAACCTACTGTGCTGCCAATCGTATAAAAGTGAAGCACATACATTTGTGCACAGCACATAATACTTGGTAATGATAAGAAATGACTGTTACTGGTTTATGTATTAATATACTATATGTTTTATCATTACTTCAGAGAGTACTTCCTAGTACTTATGGAAAAAAAAAACTTGCTGTAAAACAGTATCTCATGTTATGCGGACAATATCCTCATATGTCTCCTGCTTACTGCATCTCTTGAATGCATCATCTTATCTTGTGCCTGACTTAATTGTGTGTTGTGTTGTACAGTGACACACAAGCTTGTAGTCTAGGAGCAACAGGATAGGTATATAGTAGGCCGTACCATACAGGCTTGTGTAAGTGCACTCTGTGATTGCACAGTGATGAAATTGCCTAACGATGCATTTCTCAGATAATATCCTTGTCACTAAGCAGCACGTGACTGTATTATAAAATTATAAGAATGAGAACTAATACTGATGGTTAGGACACTTCTGTGTTTTCCTCCTTTTCTTGAGAGAATTATATAGATTATTATCTGAACCCTGCTTTGTTCTAAAAAATTAGAGACAGCTTACAGGAATAAGTTCAATAACATAAATAAATTTAAAACACAATCAGGTTTAAGGATGATGAAACCAAGACAATTTAGTACATACGAACACAGGTAATAAGGTAGGTCTTAAATGGTGGCAGAGCATCCTCATGGCCAATAATGTTGTCCATTAGATTAAAAACATATAAATATCTTAAAAGGAGTAAGATTTTTCCTAACACTGAATTCCAAGGCAAATCTCTCCCTGAAGATTAAGTGAGAAAGTAATATCTTTAGCAACATCCCCATAACAAAGCAAATAAATGAGCTACACTAAGTGGCCAGATTATTATGATATCTGAACGCATAATCTGGCCATTCAGTGTATATCCTATATAATAAAAGGCTAATATGCAAATTGTCCCCTCCACCAGGGGTTCAACCAGCAGGCAGGCCAGCCAACTGCCCATGTCCCCTCTCCCATTGCCAGACCTATACCCATGCACAAATTCATACACATATACAAACATACACTGAGTGGACAGATTATTATGCGTTCAGAGATCATAAAAATCTGGCCACTCGGTGTATGTATGTCCTGTGTTTTTGGAAATATTCCTGAAACATTTTTGCAAATAAACACTTCTTAGTTTATGTCAGAAATGAGAGGCTTCAGTAGGCTTAAAAAAAAACTTAACTTTAGGATAAATTTTATTGTTTTCCAGTTAATTTCTACACTCTCTCCTTTAAAGAGTGCTTCATGGACTCACAGAAGAGTGAGGTATCCTACCAACCCAATGGAAATTTCCATTTGTGGTTTCTAGTCTGCATGTGGGTTCTTGGGCCAGTCCATGGAGTTTATCATCCCCTTTGAGGCTTAGAGACAGTTATCCTGTGCTCTGTAGAGAGCGGTTATAGGGTTAAGCCTCGGACTGACCTGCTGACAAAGCCACAAACAAGTCCCAGCTTACAGGACACAGCCCTCTTAGCATAATTAAGCTTGACCTTATGAAGCTCCCTAGATCCTTCCTGAGTAGCTAATGGGCTGTGGGAGGAGCAGCAAGTGCTGCCAAAACAAGTGAAACTCAAAAAAAAAATTGTAACTATGGTGACCACTACCTTAGTTTACCTCTGACTATAAAATAAAAGCACAGCTTGCCCTCTGGATCTTTTCTCTGTGGCCTTAGCCAGGCACAGAAAATCCACCTAGACCCAGCTTATTCTTTTTGTCTGTCTTTTCTTCATCCTTTGATGGCCCTCCCTCAGGCTCACCAAACCCTTGGCTGTGCTGGCATGGCACAGTGCTTAATACAATCCCTTGCAGATTCCAGCACAACATACCCTTTACGGTAAGCTACATTAACTCCTGCAGAGCCCACCTGGCATTATCGCGTTCTTTCTGTGACAGGTGCCCGTGGGCCCTGAAAAAACAATGGTATAAAACGGAAGCGTAGCACCACTTTAAACACTTTTCACTTAGGATTTATATCCTCCTTCCCATCACAATCTGTTTCTGTGGCACACAAAATCTCGGGCTTCCACTGCAGTGATTAGGCACTTTCACTCACCTCCCCATGCTGACAGGTCAGAGCTCAGGCAATGTTCTGGGAGTCAGTCTTCAACCACTATTACAGCAACAACGTGTCCTCCCAGAATCAGAACCCTCCTGTTTCAGGAAGTAAGAAAAGTCACAAAGATAGCACAATCCAAGAAATGTCTATGTTCTTTATAAACTGTATGTTTAAATCCCACCACACATAACATGGTACATGATCTATGCACTGAAGCTGTTAAAAAGGCTTTATTCTGAGCGTGTAGCTTCTGCATTAGCACTAATCTAGCCCCTATCTTTCTAGTCTTATCCCCTGACAGACAGATATGTACCCTATGCTCCGGCCATCTTAAACACAAGCTGCAAGTCGCTGAAATGTCCTGCATTCCTCTGCATTTGCAGAATGATTTTTTGGGGCCCACCTGTTGGCTTTCCTATGTAATCTTAGTGACACAAGTCAAGCATGAGTCCTCTGTGAGGACTTCCCCAATCCTCTCATCCCCAGAGTATTTGCTCACCACAGTAGTGGGCTGCAGTATTTATTATACTTGTGGCTGGCTGACTTTCTCAGCAGGGACAGCCACTTACTCTTCTGTTTCTCCAGTGACCAGTGCCCATCACACAAGTGACCAAAAACCTTGTTTGTGTCACGGATGGCTGGGAATGGGAGATGCAAAGATGAAAAAGACATGGACCCAGACCTTAAATTTCTAATGCAGGAGAGGGGAAAACACACACACACACACACACACACACACACACACACACACACACAGATAAGGCCTACCTAACAAAAGTTAAAAATCATTTTAATTAGTTCAGGTTTTAATATGGTGTCCACATTGTACCATGGACTCAAAACTTAGGACAAATAATATTTGTGACCTGAAATTTTACACAAAAAGGAAAAATATGTCAATTACCTACGTCAGTGGTTGGCAAACTCATTAGTTAACAGAGCCAAATATCAACAGTATGATGATTGAAATTTCTTTTGAGAGCCAAATTTTTTAAACTTAAACTTATTCTAACGCCACTTCTTCAAAATAGACTCGCACAGGCCATGGTATTTTGTGAAAGAGCCACACTCAAGGGGCCAAAGAGCCGCAGTTTGCCGACCACGGACCTAGGTGTTAAAAGGAATTTTAATGTTTTTGTAAAGTAGCTACCTTTTAGCATTCGACTATAGTGAAATTACAACAATATACCTTTATTAGAATTTCAATGACTCAAAGATCTCATATTTTAAACATCCATTAAAATGTAAGATTACATAATCTTGGAATGGGTAAGGCTTTTCTACAATATCAGTATCTCAAACCTAAATGAAAGAAAACACATCTACACATGAGTTTAAGACTTCTGTATGTTTAAAAATAAAAATCCCTTCCCAAATACATAAGGCTTGGGAAAATTATTTACACCATGTATGACAAAAGGTAAATAGCCCTTACATATTATATAAAAAGTTCATAACATAAACACGTAAGAGAAATACGGGGACAAGTGAGAAAGGATAATTGGAAATTAATAAACTAAGAAATACAAATAGTTGATAAAAGTAATTTCATTAGTATTTCTAAGGATACCAACAAAGAGGAAGGAGAAAGATCATGGGGAGAACTAAGTAGGCACTAACCTTCTGAGGGGACACTGGTTAACAGATATGACCATTTTTAATACACTTACCCTCTGTACAATCTCTCACCCATTCAGAAATTCATACTTAGAAAACAACAGGGTAAAACTATGCACCCATCATAGTATTGTGCATAATAGCAAAACACTGTTTCTAAACTAATGTGTATTTACAGGGGTGGGTTAAGTTAAACATGGCCCATTTATGAAACAGAATGCAATGTGGCTATTAAAGGTGATGGTGCAGATCCATATTTATTGTCATGGAAAAGATGTCCATGATATATTCAGTGAAAACAAACAAACAGCACACCATGTATAGAGAGGGCAAAATGGAAGGAGAGAAACCAAAATGTTAACAGTGGTTATTATTTCTGAGTAGTGAGAAATGGATCATCGTTATTTTTTCCCCTAGGCTTGCCTATATTTTAAAAAGGGCACATAGTAATTTTATCATTAGAAGAAACAACAGAACTATTTAAACAAGCTACCTTTGACTGATATCTTCCGTTTCCAGCATCAAATCCTCTTCTGGGAAGATCAAGAAAGCCTAGTTTAAAAATTCTTCATAACACAGGAATTCTGATCTAAACATTTTTGTGTGTGATAGTTGAACTAAAGAAAGAAAGAAAGAAAGAAAGAAAGAAAGAAAGAAAGAAAGAAAGCTAGCTTTAGTTAAAAGTCTAAAGTCAAGGTCCTTGGGGGAAGGAAGGCCTTGAATGATTCAATGATGGGCACTCTAAAGGGTCCTGAGGAATAACAACCTGACTCTAGTTTCAAGGAGTTTGCAGACTGGTTACAGGATAATACTAATACCCAGGAAATAAACAAGAGTACAACAAAAGACAAAGTTAAATTATTCGGACTAACAGAATTCAGAGAAGAGCACAAGGAAGGCAGGTAAACAGGAACCGCTTCCTGAGTCAGGGGCCAACTCTGGATGGGGGAGGATAGAGAATACATTTCAAAAGAGAAAATGCACTGTTAGTATGATCATAGCAAATTTAGTAAATGTTATTTAATCTAGTGTTTGTCTTAGGACTTCTATGTTACAAAACTTGTGTTTAAAGACAGAAAATAGAACAGCTTATAAGTTGATGAAGTAATTACTTTTATTTAGGAAAAAAGTATGGCTGAATATTACCCAGCAATCAACAATATGATAAGTTGATCTTAACTCCTATTGTTTTTGCAGCTAAGAATCTTGGCACTAAAGTTTAGGAAGGCAAAGTCTTATTAATCCTATGTAATAAAAGCCTAATATGCTAAGTGTCCGGTCAACTGGTGGGCTATCCAACCAATCAAAACGTAATATGCTAATGATATGCTAAAGCTGCTAAACCGTTTGAAATAACGTGCACCGACCACCAGGGGGCAGATGCTATGATTGGTAGGTTAACTTGCTGCTGGAGTCTGGCTGATCAGGACTAAGTGAGATGGGCCAGACAAGCCCTAGAGCTCTCCTGTGACCCATCTCCAGCTGGCCAACCTACCGTGTCCTTCCCTGGGCCTGATTGATCATGCACTTGGCCTGGCCTGCTCCCTCTCGCAATCTGGGACCCCTGGGGGATGTCGGACAGCCTGTTTTGGCCCGATCTTGCAGGCCAGGATGAAAGATTCCCACTGCTGTATGAATTTGTGCACCAGGTCTCTATTACTACATAAAAAATGCCACGTTTTCCAAAGGCCTAAATTATGTTAGACTTATCATCAGAGAAACCCATCTCTCTCACTGAAAAAAACAAAACAAAACACACACACTGAAAACCATATATATCAACTGCAAAATGAAATGGTTCCTGTGGAGAAAGATGCAATAAAACAGGTATCAGCAAACTCTCAAATCACATGCAACCAAAAATCATAGACAAATGAGACTCTGGAAGAGCTAGACCTCTGAGTAAGAAAAGGTGAATCACAGGAAGGGTGCTTAAAAAGGAATGATGTGAATACTAGAGCTTACAAGGAAGAATTTTTGTGAGAGTGTAAGGAAGGTGAAGTGAAGGATACTCAGTGCACTCAGTTGTGGGGAAAAGACATCAAAAGAACCTGATTCATTCTTTGTTTTAAGAAGAATGCATGGAGTTGCATTAGCATCTACATTTTCCTTAGCATTGATTTTTAAATTTAAAATGTTTCCATTTTAAGAGATATTTTTCTGGTCACAATTTTTCTGAACCACCTCTGTCCGTTTCCACATCTGCAAGTCTGACTTTCCTCAAGTTCCAGTTCCACATCCTGAGCTCACCAATGGCTATTATCATAAACCCATTTAGTCTGAGCCTCTGGTCACAATCCTTTGACACAAATTAACACCACCTTTCAAGTCTTCCACATCTAAGAGAGGCATCACCATTGACCTGAGGTATCACCTGGTTCTTAGCTTTGATTCCCACGTATCTGTGTGCTATCAATTCTGCCTCAAAAACTCCACACATCAAAAATGATCAGAGGATACACCACAGGTCTCTAGGCAGGCCACTCATCTTCCACCTTCACTGTGAACACCAGCCTTCAGAAAGAACTCTCTGTAAAACACCACCTTCAAAACATAACCAGCTCTAGAACTTTCTGGACCCCATGGGGTCGACAGCAACTTTTCATCAACTGACCCCATCTTATTTCACCAATCTTTTCTCGCCTCGGCCACAGAAAACCTCTTTCTGCCCTAGTGAGGTAGGTCTCCTCTCTCCCTCTCTGTTTTCATGCTTGCCTTGGCCCTTTAATATCACTTCCCCGTACGATGTCCTGCTCTCAACATCGTACTTCCTTCAAGGCACACAGGTCAATATTTTTCTTTGCAAAGACTTAAACTGTTGTACTTTCTATTGTTTTCCCACACTCTGAAACTTGGTTCATTTTTTTTTTTTTAAAGCATGCTGATTAAATATATAGGAAACACACATTTTTTTTTTCTTCTTTCTGTCTAGACTGTATACAAGGATTGAGATCATGCATTCCCATTAGGGCAAGAAAAAGATAAACCATATATTCAGCAAGCAACAAATGCAAGTGATAATTAATGGTAAGTTAAACACGGACATAAACTACTTATACAAATCAGTATTTTGCTTTATAACTCTGTTAATGTGTCAAGCAATTAACAAACTTGATACAAAGACAAGGTGACATCCAATATAACACAAAGAATGTGATTCTTCTAAGTCTCTTCAAGGCTGGAGAATTAGGTGCTATCATTATCCAAGGAAGGGCCCAAACAAAACGGCAAAGTGAAATTAAACTAGGGATCTGGAGTCACCAATTTGGAACTCTTTAATAACCCCTCGTTTATCTTTTAGCACGGAAGCCGCTGAATTGTAAAGCATCTCTTTTTTTCTTTCCTGGTAGTGATAAATGCTCTGCACCAGTGTTCCTCTCATTGGGTT